TCTATGGCTATGAAGAGACACCATGACCACAGAAACTCTTATAAAGGAAAACATTCAATTGGGTGGCTTACAGTTTCAGAGGTTTAACCCAGTGTTCTACATGGCGGGTCATGGCAGTACATGGTAGCAAGAAGGCAGAAATGGTGCTGGGGAATGAGCTGAGAGTAGAGAAGAAGCTACATATTGCCCCATAAGGTGAGAGTTAGTGAACTGAGACAATGGGTGTGGTTTGAACATATATGAGACCTCAAAACCTGCCTTTACAGTGACACACTTCCTCCAACAAGACCATAACTACTCCAACAAGGCCACACCTCCTAATAATGCTACTACCTATGAGCTTATGGGAATCAATTATGTTCAAATCACCACACATACCCTAAATATTTTACCAAAGTTTGTATAATAGTTTATTTTTACCTCAATTACAAAATGTCTATCGCAGTAACAACTGAGGAGAATTATCTAATACTCAGTATTGTTTAGATGGACTCATAAATATAGAACACATTCATCTAATTTGGTATCACTTCCTTTGTTTCTACCTATTACATTTTTTATTCTGATATACATTCTAGAATGAGGTAGAAATGAACCCTTAAATGCAATCTCTATATGATTCAGGCTAAACACGCTTGTGCATTTTCTTTTTTCATGTGTTGAAATTTATATATGCCTGTGCAACTATATTTCTGTATGTCTGTAAATGTATACAAAATATATTGGTGTTTGGATAGGAATCTGCTTCTGACAATTTTAATTTAATAAAGGAACATAAATTTACTTATTCTACCATTTCTCAGGATTATTCCATTTATTACATTCCTTGTGGAACAAAAGTTGTCTGTTTATATATATATATATATATATATATATATATATATATATATATATATATCTTGATAGTCGTTCTTTCACCTCATTTTAGTCTGTTCACATAATTGTCTACAGGGAAGCCTCTTGATTACTACCAGTTCTCTTGATATGTTATTTAATTTGTGCTGATGTACCACATATTATTCTATCATGGAGAGGCTCTTATATAGAAAAAAGTTTTGTTTAGTAAAAATATAATACTTATTAATGAAGTACTAAATAAAACAAAAATTTTCTTCTCTTGCCTTCTCATAAAAACCCCTCTTCTCCTCAACCATTATACTTTTGAGATCATGTCTACCCCTCTACCCTATCCCCACCGCATGCACCATTCCCTATTCTCTCCTCAACCATCATACTCTTAACATCACTTGTCTGTCCCTCTTCCCTCCCCCACCACCATTCCCGGTTCTTGCCACTGAGATGACATTTACTCCACATTCTTTCTCAAATTGGCTGTTTCCTTTAGTCTGGCAGAGTGAATACCTCAGAGAGCATTGAGGATAAGAGAAGTAGACATTAGGGTATTTTTTCTTATTCTCTATATACCAATGTATATTTCAGTCAGAGGATATGATAATTCCTTTGATTGTGGAACCCATATAGAAAATGACCTTCTTGGGGGCTCATTCTCCCAGCAGGGAAGCACTTTGTGAATTCAGCTCCTGAGAGATGACCCCAATTATTGGATACTTTAAAATATGTGTTTATTAGTTCATTGAGAATTTCATAGTATGTTTTGACCGAATTAATATTCTTTCCTAACTCCTCTCAGATCTACACCATACCATACTCATTTAACCTTGTTCCCTCTTCTCTCTCTCACTCACTCACACACATACACTCTCTCTTTATTTATAGCCCATTTAGTCCAATTTGTGCTACCCATTTGTTTGTGTGGCTTTTTACTGGAACATGGTTGATTTATCAAGGGCTACACTCTGAAAGAAAATTGTCTTTCCATCTCCCAGTATCTATTAATTGACAATAGCTCCTCACATAAAGGTGGCATTTATGTATAACTTCCTCTCTCCATATTAGAATTTGTTCTGTCACATGATGTGATAACTACTATAGGTTCATAAGTGAAGTTGCCCTGTTCAAGTAATCCTTCAAGTATTACCCTGCCATTCCAACTCGTGGTATGATATTTGTTTCCTCTTGTTACAGACCTATATGCCACATAACATCTTTTGGGTAGGACTTGGATTTTTCTAACCATTTCTTTAACAAATCTTTTCATTTATTTACTATATAATATGAAATTATTTCTCCAATCTTCACTTCTTCTTTTTCCTATAACTGCCTTTGCTACTCTCAATATCCCCTTATTTCTTTTGATGCTCATTCCAATAGCTATTCTTTCTAGTAATTATTGGTTTGAAGATTGATTCAGCAATTATAATTTAAACCTCAGGTGATAACTAAGTTTTCACTTCTTGCATTTCTGGTGCTTCAAGTATTTGTAGAATAATTGCAAAATTAAGAAATTACAAGTAAATGGCATAATTTATTTCTCCCAAACATATTATCATCCATATTTCTGTAAATGATGTCGAAATTTCTAAAAGCTTAAGGGACTTAATGAAAGTAGGATAGCTGAGTCCACATCTAAGTTTTTTTGGAAATGAAGAATACAGTTCCTAATTGTTCCACTCAACAGCCAATGTATATAAAATCAAGAAGAAGCAGTCTTTTTACGTAATAAAATTTTGTCAGTGTCTTACTAGTAAAAAAACCATTTCCAACACCTATACTGATTCACTTTACACGTAATTCTCTATCCTGAACTATGTGCATTATAATGATATGATTTAAATGATTACCAATACTTCTAGCATGCTTCTAATATACATTTTCTCCAAACCACTGCCACAGGAGAAACAAAAACTGTTTTCTAAAATGCACATCCTCACATTAAATCATTCTGTATGAAATCTATGATCCATCCAACATATATTCTCTCGTCTACTATTATGCCATCTGAGATCTTTACATTATAATGCCTCCATTCACCATCACCATTTATAAGACCCCTTTGATTTTGTTTATGAATATTTATATAATACCCAAATAAATGTATCTGATTAATTGTGAAAGAAACACATTGTTTATATAAATTTAAACACTCAGTCTTGTGCATGGACCTTAATGGCAAAGAACATTGGCTTAGCGGTCAAAAGCAGATAATATACCTGCAGATGACCTGAATCAGTTTCCAGTGCCCATTTTAGGCAGCATACAATTGCCAATAACTCCAGCTATAGAGGATATGATGACCTATTCTGGTATCCACAGGCACATGTTGCATAGACTTACATACATACATACATACATACATACACACACACACACAGGAGAGAAAGAAAGAGAAAGAGAGACAGAGAGAGAGAGAAAGAGAGATTAATATAGTTAAAATAAAACAAAAAAATACTACAAAATTACTGAGGTTTAAAGCACTGAGTGACCTTTTAAAGAAAAAAAACTGGAAATGAAAAGAGTAAGTGAAATCTCAAAATAAATGTGGGCATTAACTCTTAAGCAAGCATATACTTGTTGAATGCTGTTCTCCATTTCCAGTATTTCAGTATGAATTTTTAAAAATCATATTCTAAAATACTTTACAACGTCATTCCATTTTTTTTTGTATCTGTTGAGATTTGCTTTGTGACAGAGTATGTGGTTGATTTTAGAGAAGGTTCCATGGGGTGCTGAAAAGAAAGTATATTCTTTTGTGTTATCGTGGAATGTTCTGTAGATGTCTATTAAGTACATTTGAGTCACAACATCTGTTAGTTCCTTTATCTCTATGTTAAGTTTCTGTTTGCCAAACCTGTTCATTGGTAAGATTGGGATGTTGAAGTCTCCTAATATTAGTGTGTGGGGTTTGATATGCTATATTTTTGGATACATTTATATTAGATTATATTAGATTGTCCTACTGTTCATTTTGTTATTTTCTCATATTTTATTCTATATGTTTAACTCTGACCTATCATTGCATTTTACTTTTATTGTGCCATTTGATTTGCTATGAAATCTATCCACTTAATTATTTCACAGTATTGTACTTTATTCTGCTTTAATGTACTTTATTATGCCTAAAATACATTACACCATTACATTTTGAGGCAGTATCTCATGCAGCCCAGGCTTCCTCAAACTTTGTAATGTAGATGAATCTAGCCTAGTACTCTCGATTCTCTTGCCACCACTTTGCAATTGCCAGTATTACAGGTATGTATCACCCTGCCCAATTTATTATACTATTTTATGGTTTCTAATTCTTGGCTAATTTCTCCATAAACAGTCAGGGTAAGTATAGGAATCACATATGTAAATGCTTACCAACAGATGTGTACATAGAGAGACACTATAAAAGTAATAAATGTCTTTTAGTTGTTGTTTGGGTTGTAAACCTAGATGGTTTTGTTTGAAATACTGGATTTGAACCTTAGTAAAAAATTAGTTGGCTATCTTTTACAGTCTGAATTGTATTAATTATAAATGGCTTTAATAATATCTAAGTAATTGGTTTATTATTATTCAGTGTGATTTCTATTACAGTTCCTGATACATATTAATCATATATAAGCTGATTTATCTTAGTAAAATCAGTGATGTTTTCTTTTAATATCAATGTTTTTGGATAATAGTATTGTTCTTTCCAAAACAATCACAAAAGAAAGGTTGTTTTCAATGTGTGATATACTTTCTCCAAATAGAATCTATATGACATTGGGAAAAATACTCAAACTCTGTCTCTATTTCCAAACCTTACAAGTGAATAAATTAACTCAGAGTTTGGTTGAGATGAATTTTAAAATTTTGAATTTTCAAAATTTGAAATTGAAAAATTTGAAAATAAAATGTTCAATTTTAAAATTCAACATATCTCATAAAGTGTTCTTGACATACCACACATATATTAGGTAAGAAGGTGGCTCCATTATAACAACCAGATTCCATTATATTTCAGGCACAGATATTATTAATAATATAATTGTATTTGCTGACAAATAAGGAAAATATGACATGGTTTAAATTGATTTAGTTAGACTTTTCTTTCCAGGGTTTAAATTGATTTAATTATTATTCTTTTTTTTTTGTTCCCTTTGATAAAGTTTTTGACACTTTACCACCAATGCGCTATCAGGAGACAATGAGTACCATCCGGACGTGGATACAACAGTCAGAAAACAAACTCTCAATACCTCATCTTAGTGTCACTGAATATGAAATAATGGAGCAGAGACTCGGAAAATTACAGGTCTGTGGACATTTGAATATCATAAGCAACAAAGAACATGTCTTATTTGTCAAAAATTTGCATTACTGTTTCATTAAATATAAATAAAGATAATTATGGTAGGAATCATAGGTTAGTAATTGAAAAAAATGAACAGGAGAATTTGAGACTATAACATGACTTTTTTATTTCTATATATAAGCAACTTCATAAATATACACAAATATATATAGATATTTGTGTTTATAGTAAAAGTAGTACCTTTAGAATAATTGTGGAATAAAGCTATAATTTCCTTTTAAGTTTAGTGTACACTTTAATATATCAAGTATGAGTATTAAAATTATATCTAATTATTTTGTCATAATTACATATTTTAT